GACAGTGACCCAACTGGTGGTGGTGGGGAGGAAGAAGGGGAATGTCAAAACATAGGCATCTGAAAGCAGCAGAATTGGTACGTAGATCAAGTGATTTTAAAAACAGGTGTAGGCCCATGATTGGTCAGGACCAATGAATGAATGATGCAGCATTAGAGTCTTCCTGGCAGAACTTTCGCTAAAGCTTCCATTTCTCCTTAATACAAAATGTACTTCTGCACTTTAACCAAAGTAAAAATATATAGCACACATATGCCAAAAGTCATGGGACAGGAACTAGTATCATGGAGGATCCCCTCTAGCCTGGCAAAGTGCAGCAACTTGATGGACACAAGACATCTGGAGGGATTTTGAGCCATGTCTGGATAGCAACCCACAGCTCAGTGGCATTTGTAGGTGCAGGATCTCTGATGTGAAGGGACCTCTCTACCACATCCCATAAATACTCGACTGGGGCAAATGTACAGGCCTCATCATTTGCCAGAACTCCCTAGAATGCTTCTCAAACCAATTCTGGACAACTTGGGCCTGATGGCATGGTACACTATGCTGCTGTAATATCCCATCATTATCGGGGGGACATGAAGTCCTTAAAGGGATGCAAATGGTCACTGAGCAGTGAAACGTAGCGGTCACTTGTCAATGATGTTTTTAGGTGGACCAATGGACCCAACCTATGCTATGAGAACACACACCACACCAGCCTGCACAGTGCCTCATTGACAACTGCGGTCCATGCCTGACTGGGGTCTGCACCACACACAAACCCTACCATCAGCCTGAAACAATTGGTACCGTGACTCATCAGACCATGTCACATGTTGCCAGTCCTCTAGGGTCTAGTTAGCAACCTCACAAGCCCAGGTGAGGCACTGTGTTCGGTGTCGTGGTGTTAACAGACACACTCTGGTGGGTCTTCTGCTCCCATATCCCATGGAAGCTAAAGAACTCTGCACAGACCTGTGGGATATGCATGTGGGGCCTCCTGCATTGAATGTGGATGTGATTTCTGCTACAGTCTGTTGTCTGTTCTCGTTGACAATTCGAGCCAGACGCCACCAGTCATGATCATTAAGCACCCGTCCATTATTTTAGTTTAAGGACCCTAATGCCAGTACAATGTCATTTATTTTCTTATGTCATCTTGTGATAATTGGCATAAGCTCAAGTACTGCTTTATCCTGCTTTTGTGTTGTTCAATGTGTAAGTGTTTGTTATGTTATAGGCAACATTCAAATAAAGTGTTCCCTTTTACTTTAAGGCCTCTTATGTCAATGCAGTATCATTTACTTCATAAACATGTCATCTTGGTAAAAATTACACATATTGTTCATAAATAATCAAGTATTGCTTTTAAAATATGCTATTTGGTGATTATACATGTCTAATGACATCCTATGTAGGTAACCTTCAAACATAGTGTTACTGAAAATATAATTTAAAAGCAAACTTTTTTGGTGACTATGGTTCCCTTTTAAAGGACTAGGAGAGCAGAAAGGCAATATGGATGTGACTATATAAGCATAACTCTTCTGTCCACTCATATTACCCTGCAAATAGCTCATAGCCATGATAACAGGGAGGAAACAGAGGCCATTGCTGAGAAGAAGGCCAACCAGACAGAAATAAACCAACCACACTGCACCAAGATTAGTATCGCAGAAGTGAGAAAGAACAAATGCATGCTGGGAATTGACACATAGTGTCCTATAATAGCATCAAACTTAAAAGTCTGATGAAGAAAGCATGCTTCATCCATGTTACAGATATTTCTTCAGAATAGAGTAGAATTAATAGAGTGCCAGGACTGATTTCCTCTGTTTTTGAATGTTTGTCAAACTAAATGGTTGTAGATTTTCCTAAAAAATGTAAAATATGACCGTAAGAACAGGAGGAAAAACAAAACACTGTTTTAATGATCATTTATTGAAAGAAAAAAAGATTTGCAACATCACAATGTGAAAAAAGTAATTGCTCAGTACACTTAATAACTGTTTGTGCCACCTCCAGCAGCAACAACTGCGACCACATGCTTCCTGTAGCAAGAGATCAGTCTGTGATATGGTGTAATTTTGGCCCTCTCTTCTTTGCAGAATTGCTTTTACTCAGTAGCACTGAAGGGGGGTTTTGAGCACAGAGTACCCATTTAAGGTTCTGCCACTTATTCCATTCCCAAACCTTAACTTTGTTTCTTCTAAGCCATTCAGAGGTGGACTTGCTCTTGTGCCACAGATTGTTGTCTTGTTGTATCATCCAACTGCACTTCAGATCATTAACTGAAGACTGGAATCACAATTATGACAGTGATGTCTACAGCAAGACTCTGAAGCAACAAATCACACTACCACCACCATGTTTCACTGTTGGTATGATGTTCTTATTGTGGAATATAATGTAAGAATTATACCAGATGTAACAGGACCCGTGTATTCCAAACAGTTCCCTTTCAACTAATCGGTCTACAAAACATTATTCCAAAAGGCTTCTGGGTCATCAAAGTGTTTTTGTAAAATTTGAGACAAGCCTTTATGTTCCTCTTGGTTAGCGGTAGATTTTGTCTAGCGACTCTCATGGATACCATTCTTGGCTAGTCTCTTTCTATTGGTGGAATCATGAATACATCTGTGTATATAATGTATTATATTTAAATATCTTAATAAATTATAATGAATAATAGTTCACTCATCAGACAGAGGCACATGAAGTTCTTTGCTTCATATGATAACAAAAACAAGCTGTAATACCACAACACCCAACCCCCACCAACATGTCTTATTGTGTCCAAGAAGAGGAAGCAAGTTACAAGACAGGAAATGTGTGTGCATGCGCACTTGCAAGCAACAGAGGTGCAGTCAGATACACCAACTACTCAGCAACAGAATAGTTCTTATCATGTGTAAATCATGTGTGCATGTTGTATGACCACAGTGGGCTGCCCAGAGCTTCCATCAAGACTTATCTTAGCTAAAGCTCCCATCAGTAGTGCAGAGAGTGGTCAATGACAAATCAACAGAAAGATAGCCTCCACTTCAAACAATGACCTAAGCAAGACTGTGGCCCTTCAGGACTGGCAAGTACACTTTATTAGGTACATCTACCTTTTATCTACACTCACTGGCTGTTTTATCAGGTGTATCTACCATGTAGGTGCATTGAGGTTCTACAATTACAACCCAATGTCCAAAAACCCAGAAAATACTTGCACAAGCTATCATTTTAAATGTTTTACAACATGGGGATATTATTTAGATGGATATTGATTCCTCTGTACTGCTTGGAATCTGTTCTCTGTGTTTCCTATCCAACTCACTGTCCCGCACACATCACTGTGTACTTTATGATCAGGTTTCCTGGCCTTCATTAAGCCTAACTTTTGATAAATCAGTACAGAACTATGCAGTAAACTGTAAATGGTTTAAGTGAGCATAAAGTTTATTATGTAATTTTACAAGTGCTCAATATGAACCTTCTTCAGCTGTACAGACAACATCAAAACCGTAGTCAAATTCATCCCATACTCCACTGAGCATGTCGGGTGTCACTGTACTCACAGCTCTTTCAGTGCGATTTTGGAGACCATCCAGTGTTGTAGAACCAACAACGAATGCTCTGAGCTGTTGGAGGTTCACTGCCAATGGAAATCATGCTGCACAGTTACGACGGATTCAGTGGAGAATGCAAAGCGCTTTCTGCTCAGGGGTCTCACCTCCTTGCAGACTGAAGGGAGCCATCTTCCAGTGACAGTCAGAAACTCTATGACTCCCTCTTTCAATTGGATTTTGATTGGTTCTTAGGCGACTCACAGTTGTAAAAATATGGTGCTTTGAAATCGGATTAACATTTCTGAATCACTCTGTATATTGCTGTTGTCGGAAGAAACACTGTTTTGTTTTCTGAACGTTTTATTTAAATTACCAATTTATTTATTGTTATGCTTCATTTCATATTTCTTGTAACTGGAAACTGCTGTCTTGGCCAGGTCTCCCTGGAAAAATATTTTAATCTTAAGGTAACTTAAATAAAAGTTAAATTAAAAAAAAAATAATAATAATAAAATTAGTATGTTATGTTATCTCCTGGTGGCAGTGGGTAGCGCTGTCACCTCACAGCAAGAACGGCCTGGGTTCGATTCCCGGCCGGGCAACCAGGGTCATTTCTGTGTGAAGTTCTGCCTGTTCTCCCTGTGTCTGCGTGGGTTTCCTCCCACAGTCTAAAAACATGCAGTCCATTGGACGTGCTAAATTGCCCCTAGGTGTGAGTGAATGTGCATGTCTGTCTGTCTGCCCTGCGATGGACTGGCAACCTGTCCAGGGTGTATCCTGCCTTCTGCCCAATGACAGCTGGGATAGGCTCCAGCACCCCACCGTGACCCAGAAGGATAAGCGGTTTAGATGATGTGTGTGTGTGTTATCTCCTTTTTGTAAAAGACACTCAAAGACCACATCACACTAGCCTTGTCATTTTCAGCAAGTATAAACAGAAACCACAATATGTTGTTCTGTTCTGGCTATTTATTTATGAAACAACCGAAAAACATGAGTCATAGAATAAAAGTATTATCTACAGCCAGAAATTAAGCCTGAGATCAAAATGTATGCTAAACACTGCAAAACAAAGCCATTCACAAAACACAATGTGATTTGGGTGCCAATCTTTTGTACATGACTGTAAATCAAATCATTTACCTTGTTTCCTAGTAAATTTAAAGTAATTCTCAATGTAATAAAAACAAAATGCAGTACCTTTTAGAAGCGAAATATGTAAACATAAAAAAGGAGGTCTAAAAAATGTTTTCTGCAAATTTACAAACTTGGAAAAAGAAATATTGCAAAATGGAGACGTATGCAGATGTAATACAATGAGAAAGAAGGTAATTTGACTGACCACAACAACCATTAACACAATAAATGTTCATTATAATCATCAAATCTGTGTGTAGGGGTTAGGTAGGTATGTGTGAATATGGGTATGTGTGTGTGTTGGGGCTATGTGTGTGTGTATGTTTGTATGTGTGTGTGTGTGTGTGTGTGTGTGTGTGTGTTTGTGTGTGAGTTAATTCAGTTTGATGCTGGCGTATTCAGTAGTTTCTTACGTGTCTAACAGTACAGTTGCTGATGTTGATCTTTCGAAGTAGACTACAGTAGAATACGTCACATCATCCTGCAGAAATAACACATTAACACATTTCAGCTAACACTTCAACATTATAATACCATTTAATACTATTTAATAAGCTTAATAAGCCTTAACAAGCCATTGTTTAGTAACTAACCAGCTGCTCATTGCTACATTATTAAGCAATAATTAGGGGGAAATGATCTTTCAAAGCACTATTATTTGTGTATATACTATTGAAGTAATATGCATCATACATTAAAGGTCAGTTTTGTCGTGTTTCCAGTCTCTGATTTTGCTTGTTTTCTCAAGACCAGTTAAGTACAAGATCTCCTTTATTTTAATTTCATTGTCATTGTATTTTTTTTCTATAAAAATACTGTGTAAACTAGAGTGCATTTAAACTTTACACTATATAATATATGGATAAAAATGCTCTGGAAACTGTTTAATTCAGTCTCGTTGCTGCTTGATAATTAACAGCCATTTAGAATTTGGCTTGATTAACAGTTGCTTAACAGTTGTTGTCTTGATAAGGCTTAATAAGGGCATAATGGACACCAAATATGTGTAAAAGTTTATGATGTATAACATACAAATAAAGATGCTTTAAAAATGCTTATTTCATAAGCAGCTTCTTAATTACCAACTACTGGCTTGTTGGGCATTAGAATGTCCCCCGATACTGAGGTGTTAGGTACATGTAAGAAAGAGTAAACATACGATTGCAATATTACTCACGTTTTCTTCAACTTTTTTGCGTTTGTCTTCTTTATCCACAGCAGCGTACAGCACCTCACAATTGTTCTGAAAGAACACAAATTTGGTAAATTATACAGATTATGAACTACAACGAATATGATAGAATACAGTAATACCTACCTTGTAACTACACTAAGGACTCCCAAAGTCAGTCCTTGGGACCCCATGCTTTGCAGATTATTGTGTTTTCCTGCCTCTTACATGAGGAACCATATACAACAAGTTTTCTACCATTGAGGATAAACATTTAACCATGCATAGAACTCTGCATGCATTGAAATGGGTGGTTCCATATGTAACCTTTTTTCAAGAGTATACCATACAGGTGCACTTTACAGGTTTAAATTCACTGACTGTAGCCTATCTGTTTTCTGAAGACCAGTCAAGTGCAAGACCTCCTGTATTTTATTTCTAGTTATGTTTTTACACAAACATAAATGCTCTTGAAAATGCTTAATTCAGTCTAGCTGCTTCTTGTAGTAATTAGCAGCCAGTTCAAAGTTGGCTTAATATCCTATCTAACAGTTATTGGCTTGATAAGGTTTAATAAGGGCATACTGGATACCAAATAGTGAGGGAGTTTATGATCTACAATGCACAGTTAGAGGTGCTCTGGAAAATGTTTATTTCAACCTAGTTATTGCTTAATAATATAGTAATAAGCAGCTTAATTACCAACTATTGGCTTATTGTCCATTATAATATTCTTCTATATTGAAGCATTATGAAATGTCATTATACACATGGAAGACAGAGTAAACACATGACTGCAATGATACTCACCGTTTCTTGAACTTTGTTGCATTTGTCATCATTTACAGTAGCGTACAGCACCTCAGAATCATTCTGTAACAACACAAATTTGGTAATTTACACAGGTTATAAACACATTAAAATACAGGAATACCAAATTAGGACTCCACGCTTTGCACATGCTTGTGTTTTTCCTATTTTAAAACATTTGATCTGGTACATGAGCTAATTAATGAGTCAAATAAGGGGTGCTAGGTAAAGGAAAGAATAAAACTGTGCATATAATGGGGTCTCCAGGACCAGGATTGGGAACCCCTGACCTATACTCATTGGTTATCCCTACTCTTAGCAAAAATGGTTCTATGACTTCTCTATGACTAAGAACCATATACAGCAGGTTTTCCATCAAGAGAAGAACCATTTATTTCATTAAATCAACCATATAAACATTCAAATGTGTGGCTATAACCATGTTTAAGAGTAAGCTGCATCTGTTGCAGCATAGTCCTTTTTGTACTACCAATGGAAAGAGAAGACCACTGACCGGATAACACCAATGGAATGAGATTCCATCACCAATGGAAAGAAAGCACAATTGGATCACCAGATACAATTAGGTGGACAATTTCCAGCACAGTGGCACTATCATAGTACCAGTAGCAACATGGTACTGTGTGTGTTGTTGGTGGTACAAGTGTATCAGCTGCAGCAGCACTGCTGAGGTGTTTGAACACTTTAATTTCTATACATATAATGCTGGAAAGCCTTGAAGGTGCACGGTCAGACACTAGTCTTTTTTACATGCACAGTTTATGTTAGCTATCCTCTAGGCCTTCATCGATGGTCAGTTTCTGTTTACAGGACCACTATTGGCAGGATGTCACTGGATAGGAGGCTATTCCTCAACCTAGCAGTGACTATAAAGTTTGTGAAAGCCTGATGCACTCATACCAGCCCCACGCATGGTAGAGTGGTCATTCAGTGGTGGTCTATTCATATTAATGAATGAGCTAGAAATGGGCTGACAAATTATGCAGTAACAGTTGGGCTACAGTCAGTAATTGTAAACCTACAAAGTGCATCAATATAATTACCTTTGGATGTAAGTGCATATATAAGTGGTGCCATAGAAGATCCACTTTTGATTCCATAAAGAATCATATTTGAAACAGAGGTGTGTGAGGGGGTGAAGAACTTTTTAAAGCCTTTAAACCTTTTTAAATGATTATTTTCCTTAACAATTTCAAGGTTCTTTCCAGACCATTTACATTATGTGGAAGTTTTTTCAACTGCATGTCATTACATAAATGCTTCTCTAAAGAACCATCCATTGAAAGTATCTTTAGGGAACCAAAAGTGGTGCTCACAAAGAAACCATTCTAGCACCTTTATTTTTAAGTGTATAATGAGCTGCCAGCTCAGGCTTTGATTTACTAAAGGTTTGTTTCAAATAGCAAAATAGTTCATGCTGTCCATTTTGTGTGTTTGCCTTAATGAAAATGCAACATTTAAGTGTTTCTTCCTGAGAGTGCAAAATCCTGGGCAGTGTCAGTGCAAATAAATGAATTAAGCACCCACAGAGCGATTTACTAAGCCTGAAAGTAATTTTAAGAATGGTTATTGCATGTCTAAACGAATACAACTGAAAGCCAGGTACTAATCTAATGCAAGTTTCAAACCAATGCTGATGTCATTATATTATTAATGTTTAGCCTAATTTTGGCTTTAAAATGTAGTTACTATATTATAGGACCAGCTAACCTACCTGTCAGGTTTACACTCAGCTGTCAAATTCAAGTGGATGACTGCAATGTCAAAAGGCTATTTTTTTGCAGGCTTTTTTTTTTGCAGACCCCAACAGTGACATGCAATATAGCCTAAACTTTATATCAAGATGCTGCGAACTTCACAAAAAAAGAAAAAAAAAAATATGAAATATGAAATAATTTTTGAGCAACATAAGAGTTGTTTTGGGAAATTCTGGAAACTCTTGCAGGCTACTAAAGACTTAAAGCTTCACCAACTGAACCACTTTAAATCCCAGGCTTATTATATACTAAGGCTTATTATTCAGTAATTACAGAGACTTCAGTGCAAACTGGCTGAGCTATTCTTAGGATACAGAAGCGTGTAATAAAAGCTTGGGCCCTCCGGTGGGCCCTGATGAACTAAGAGGTTAATAGTGGATGGCAAATTTTGCTAAGCAGTGATAGGAGGAGGGGATATATGCCTTGTCACTGAAAAAAAAGGCTGTCTTGCAACAGAGATGACATATTAGCACTAAAAGGGAGGTTATTCTTCTGATCTTACCTGTGTCTCCTGATCTTCTCTCCATCCTGATTTTCTCTCACAGCTCTCCATCTGCCTTCGTCTCTGAGCTGCAGAGTCAAACCACAGACATTTACATAGAGAAATTGCACAGAGCTACAAACACTAAAATGTAAATAGGATCTGTGCATGTATCTGTACCTCTGTATCTCCAATAGATGATCCCAGTGAGTATTATCAACAGTAGTAAGCCCCCCTCAGCAGCATAAATAAAGAACTCAGGCTTGGTTGGTGAACCGGATGAACCTGCATTTGAAAAAAGAAAGAGAATAAACATTTATGCAACTATGTGTGTAATTGGTTAGGAAACTTTATTATATGTGTGATCGAGTTAATGTAATGAATGTATCATTACCATTTTTTGATGGTGTTGTCAAAGAAGATTGGGTTGAAGTGACAATACTGTTTCTTTTAGACTTTATGGTTGGACTGGGTGGAAGGTCCTTGTTCACTGGAAAAGAAGTTATAGGTTTAATTGTGGCCACTGTAAGAGACAAATCTGGGATTTACACATACAAGAGCACTTTCTATGAATACCATGTCTACAAGAATCTATGAACACATTCATAACTTGTTATAATGCATTAATAAGGCATTATAAACATGATGATAAACATTTAGAAAAATGTATTAAAATTCATTGCCAGGTTTATTATGCATTATGAATAATATAAATTATAATTTGTAATGTATAATGAATTATAAAAGTAGTGTTCATAACATGTTACATTTGCCACAGAATCTCAGACCCCAGCCTGCATTATGGGAATATATAGTATTTTTGATAGACATTATTATAACCCTATTATGAGAACTGGTTGTGTGTTTGCATTATTGTTGCAGAGGTTATTGCTCTTGACTGCCTTTGCTCCATGGTAATGTTGTACTCAGAGGGGGTCTTGTGGGGAGGGGCTTTGGTGGATAGGTGAGTTGCTGTGATGTGAAATGTAATAGTTTTAGTACTATGTTGTGTGGGTACACTGGTTAATTGATATCAACTTTATTAGAGAAATAAAATGTGTCTTCCTTTACACATTAGCTGTTATTCGTAGTATTTGATTATGTCATTAAGAACACTTTCTTCCTATCTTGGAGTGCTGTAACTCTGACTGTGCCATGATCTAATCTCATCATGCTTTCTGCAGCTACAACACTGCAGGTGGATGAAGACCAAGCAAAAAAGACTAGAATGACCATGAAAAAGCTGAAAATATATGTGAACACTTTAGACACTGTCTTCAGAAAATTCTTTGTGGAGAAGATGAGCTGGATTGGTGGACTGGATATAGAAATGTAGAAAACAAAGCTGATGAATATGAAACTAAAATAAGCTGACTTTATTTTTTTAATTCATGCAAAGTCATCAATTTACATCAATAAATACATCCTAAAACAAGAAATACCATCAAATCTTTAAGTAAGATTAAGTGACCCTTATTAGTCCCACAATGAGGAAATTTCACCTCCGCATTTAACCCATCCGTGCAGTGAAACACCACATACACACTAGTGAACACACACACACTAGGGGGCAGTGAGCACACTTGCCCGCAGTGCCCAGGGAGCAGTTGGGGGTTAGGTGCTCAAGGGCAATTCAGTCACATACTGTCAGCTCAGAGAATTAAACCGACGACCTTCCAGTAACAAGTCTGGTTCCCTAACTTCCAACCCACAACTGGGTTGCACAACAGCTATAATCAGTCACTAGAGCTGCTAGAGTGTTGAACACGTCTCACTGGCTGATCTAATGCTTCATTCCAAACCTCCTACTTCTGTGCTTTACCTATCACACTAATGAGTGCACTTCTAATGGTACTGCACCATTTTGCATACCATTTAGTGTCTCAGTATGCCATTAGCAACATGGCAACAAATCAAATAAAATCAAAGCAATCCTCTGGAGTACACTGGCGAATATGCTTTGAAAATGAAATTTAAACAGAGGTTTTAAGTTAAAATGTTTTACTGCCCTTTCTGGATCGGCTATGGCTTTGTTATCTTATAAGAAATCACAACTGCACAACCAAATGAACATGAAGTTGCATACCAAAAAGATGGCTGTGGGATTCTGAAAGATCATTGGAATACTTTGAATTCTTTTCTTGTTTTCTTGTTTCAAATAAATATAACTGATATTAGAAGGAAAGACTCTTCGCATGTACAAATAGTACTAACAAATAATATTCATTACACTATCAGCAGTGGGTGGTACGATGGTTGAGTTTGATGCTACATAGCATATATGCAAATGAACCCCATTTTAAACGGCTTTTCACAGAAGAACTTAAATTATCCAGCCTGACAATATGTGGCCTTCATTTCCAAGGAATGATATGACATAGGCAGATAACAGAGCAGCCAGAAGGGAGAGTATTTATCTGATACAAATTAGAAAAGTCTTGCTAATGTGTCAAATAACCACATACTGAATGCCCTGAGATGCATCTTCATGAATAGCCATGCGAACAAACACTAATATGTTTATAAATCAGGGGCTTGAGGTGACAGGACGAAAACATATACAAATAGCTGGAAAAGAGGCTGAATAGATTTAAACCAGAAACTACATTCAACACAAGGAACACCATGTATTTATTCTTTTATTCTGTATTTATTCATCTATTTTATTGATGTATTTATTCCAGCTGAATGTCTCAGGTTTGAGACGTAGCTCAGTGCAGGAGCAGGGCAGCAGTACTGACCCTCCTGTACAAGCTGTGATTTCTAATGTTTCTTTATTGTTGGTCAGAGTGCAGCCTACAGAAACACACATTTAGGATTGAGGATTATTGTTTGCATGTGAAAACTCATCCAGAAGCACTAAATATTACCATTTAATTAAGAACGATAAGTGAGAAACCGACCAAATGGTTTATCATAAAATACCATATTATTGAATTTTCTGTCTTCAGCTCCACAAACCTGACTACTGCTACAAGCAGCCATCCACTATTAAACCTTTACTGAATAAATGAAGCTGCACTACAAAAAGTTTGACAATAGCTGTGAAATATAAATCAATCTACTACTCTTGACTTCAAGCATGGAGTATCAGTTTATGTAACTATGTAAAGTAACAATTATTTCAACAATTCACCATCATTACAACAGAATCTGGAAGGATTAGTCTTCATTCTAGTGCTACTGCAAAGCCGGAGAACTAATGCAGGTGTAACTTTTACCTAAAAGAGCTTTTAAGTTGATTCTATCAAGTGTCTAGTTATGAGATACTCACTGTACAATGCATGTGAGTCAAAACAGAGTTTTACCTTTAACAGTGAGTCTGATGTCTCTGAATGTGTCGCCTTTAACTGTACATCTGTAATCTCCTCCATCCGCTTCAGTCAGGTTTGATATGAGTAGAGAGAGATTTCCTGGAGAGTGACCATTAACCAGCTGAACTCTGTCTCTGTACTCATCATGTTTAACGTGTATCCTCTGATAAATATTATTGATGTATTTATTCCAGCTGAATGTCTCAGGTTTGAGACGTAGCTCAGTGCAGGAGCAGGGCAGCAGTACTGACTCTCCTGTACGAGCTGTGATTTGTAATGTTTCTTTATTGTTGGTCAGAGTGCAGCCTACAGAAACACACATTTAGGATTAAGGATTATTGTTTGCATGTGAAAACTCATCCAGAAGCACTAAATATTACCATTTAATTAAGAACGATAAGTGAGAAACCGACCAAATGGTTTATCATAAAATACCATATTATTGAATTTTCTGTCTTCAGCTCCACAAACCTGACTACTGCTACAAGCAGCCATTCACTATTAAACCTTTACTGAATAAATGAAGCTGCACTACAAAAAGTTTGACAATAGCTGTGAAATATAAATCAATCTACTACTCTTGACTTCAAGCATGGAGTATCAGTTTATGTAACTATGTAAAGTAACAATTATTTCAACAATTCACCATCATTACAACAGAATCTGGAAGGATTAGTCTTCATTCTAGTGCTACTGCAAAGCCGGAGAACTAATGCAGGTGTAACTTTTACCTAAAAGAGCTTTTAAGTTGATTCTATCAAGTGTCTAGTTATGAGATACTCACTGTACAATGCATGTGAGTCAAAACAGAGTTTTACCTTTAACAGTGAGTCTGATGTCTCTGAATGTGTCGCCTTTAACTGTACATCTGTAATTTCCTCCATCCTCTTCAGTCAGGTTTGATATGAGTAGAGAGAGATTTCCTGGAGAGTGACCATTAACCAGCTGAACTCTGTCTCTGTACTCATCATGTTTAACGTGTATCCTCTGATAAATATTATTGATGTATTTATTCCAGCTGAATGTCTCAGGTTTGAGACGTAGCTCAGTGCAGGAGCAGGGCAGCAGTACTGACTCTCCTGTACGAGCTGTGATTTGTAATGTTTCTTTATTGTTGGTCAGAGTGCAGTCTACAGAAACACACATTTAGGATTAAGGATTATTGTTTGCATGTGAAAACTCATCCAGAAGCACTAAATATTACCATTTAATTAAGAACGATAAGTGAGAAACCGACCAAATGGTTTATCATAAAATACCATATTATTGAATTTTCTGTCTTCAGCTCCACAAACCTGACTACTGCTACAAGCAGCCATTCACTATTAAACCTTTACTGCATAAATGAAGCTGCACTACAAAATGTTTGACAATAGCTGTGAAATATAAATCAATCTACTACTCTTGACTTCAAGCATGGAGTATCAGTTTATGTAACTATGTAAAGTAATAATTATTTAAACAATTCACCATCATTACAACAGAATCTGGAAGCATTAGTCTTCATTCTAGTGCTACTGCAAAGCTGGAGAACTAATGTAGGTGTAATTTTTACCTAAAACAGCTTTTAAGTTGATTCTATCAAGTGTCTAGTTATGAGATACTCACTGTACAATGCATGTGAGTCAAAACAGAGTTTTACCTTTAACAGTGAGTCTGATGTTTCTGTATGCGCCGCCTTTAACTCTACATCTGTAATCTCCTCCATCCCCTTCAGTCAGGTTTGATATGAGTAGAGAGAGATTTCCTGGAGAGTGACCATTAACCAGCTGAACTCTGTTTCTGTACTGACCACTCTCACTGGATATCTCTTTCATTATGTTTGAGTAGAATTTATTCCAGGTGAATGTCTCAGGTGTGACTTGTGGGTCAGTGCAGTAGCAGGGCAGCAGTACTGACCCTCCTGTGTATGCAGTAATCTCTTTTAACTGCCCATGGCCTTTCAGTGTGCAGCCTGCAGAAACACACCAGTTAATGACCTTCACTGTCATCACTTGTGTAACACTTGATCAACCATGAACAGGATTTTACTTTCAAGGTATTGCCATTAAAAGACATGCTTGACCAGCCTAAGCACAGTTTTCCTAAATCAGTTTAATATTAATTGTGTTATTATACTGTTGAGAAACTCACATCAGCTTAAGTGGTGAAACAGTTATAATTACTTGAAATATGTGGTTGGAAGTGGCTTTGAAGGCAAACAATCAACTTAAATGATTTTAACTGCTGCTAAATGCATATCCTTACACCCAAGTGCCATCATTAATATTATGGCCTGACTTTGAATTAATTTTTACACAGTACTGTGTTATACTAGTATCTACAGTAGGAGATATAACAGTGCACTCACCTTCAGCAACATGGAGCACAAGCAGCAGATACAAACAAACCTGCATTCTTCCTGAGTTACAGAACCTCCTCACTACATACAGAGACACACGACTGCAGATATGACCACTCCTACACTCGCTCTACTGACCGATCTGTTAGCTACTCATAAACTACACTACCTCAGTACTTCTGCAGAGCTCTTTTCAGACCTACAGTCTACCTGACACAACCAGCACACGAGCAAATCCTGTATCTCTCTCAGCAGGACTTCACTGGACTCTTCCGCACTCAAACGTTTGCACCTGAAAGAGGAACTGTGTTCAGATGAGCTCATCTTTCTCTCTCTGTCACTCACACACACCAAATATAGTGATGTGACAGCATCCTGTCAGCTCTTCCTCTTCCTTCTCTTGTAGCACACAGTGCACAACATCACATGTAGTCATTTGTTGTTAAAGCCCCGCCCCTCTTTCTTTTTCTCTCTATACAGTTAGTAGACACTTTGTTAAGAACCCCTCATTGTAGTTCCACCGACCCAAAGCCCACCCTTTGATATGCGGTTTGTGTTAGCAATCCTCTGGGTCTTTATCAGTGTTTAAACTAACAATCCTTCATTTTTTACAGTCTACATGAAAATGTACAGTCGTGGCCGAAAGTGTTGGCACCCCTGAAATCTTTCAAGAAAATGAAGTATTTCTCCCAGAAAATTATTGCAATTACATATGTTTTGTTATACACATGTTTATTTCCTTTGTGTGTATTGAAACAACACAAAAAAACAGAGAAAACAAAAAAAGCCAAAAATGATATCATTTCGCGCAAAACTCCAAAAATGGGCCGGACACAGGTGTGTGTGGATTGCTGGCCACTTCAGAACTCTCCAGCGCCTTGTTTCCATCCATTTCTGGGTGCTTTTTGAAGTATCTTTGGGGTTTTTGTCCTGCTGGAAGACCAATGACCTAGGATGCAAACCCAGCTTTTTTTCTGGGCCCTACATTGTGACCCAAAATCCTTTGGTAATCTTCAGATTTCATGATGCCATGCACACAGTCAAGGCCCCCAGTGCCAGAGGCAGCAAAACAACCCCAAAACATCTTTGAACCGCCACCATATTTGACTGTAGGTACTGTGTTCTTTTCTTTGTAGGCCTCATTCCATTTTTGGTAAACAGTAGAATGATGTGCTTTACCAAAAAGCTCTATCTTGGTCTCATCTGTCCACAAGATGTTTTCCCAGAAGGATTTTGGCTTAGTTTTGTACATTTTGGCAAACTGCAGTCTAGCTTTTTTATGTCTCTGTATCAGCAGTGAGGTCCTCCTGGGTCTCCTGCCATAGCGTTTCATTTCATTCAAATATCGATGGATAGTTCACGCTGACACTGATGCACACTGAGCCTGCAGGACAGCTTGAATTTCTTTGGAACTTGATTGGGGCTGCTAATCCACCATCTGGACTATCCTGCGTTGCAACCTTTCATCAATTTTTCTCTTCCGTCCACGTCCAGGGAGATTAGCTACAGTGCCATGGGTTGTAAACTTTTTGATTTTGTCAAATCAAGATCTCTGGAGATGGACTTGTAACCTTGAGATTGTTGATATTTTTCCACAATTTTGGTTCTCAAGTCCTCAGACAGTTCTCTTCTCCTCTTTCTGTTCTCCATGCTTAGTGTGGCACACACAGACACACAATGCAAAGATTGAGTCAACTTCTCTCCTTTTTATCTGGTTTCAGGTGTGATTTTTATATTGTCCACACCTGTTACTTGCCACAGGTGAGTTTGAACGAGCATCACATGCTTGAAACAAAGTTATTTACCCACAATTTTGAAAAGGTGCCAATAATTTTGTCCGGCCCATTTTTGGAGTTTTGCATGAACTTATATCATTTTTGGCTTTTTTTCTGTTTTTTGTGTTGTTCCAATACACACAAAGGAAATAAACATGTGTATAACAAAACATGTAATTGCAATAATTTTCTGGGAGAAATACGTCATTTTCTGGAAAAATTTCAGGGGTGCCAACACTTTCGGCCATGACTTTATATATTAGAAGTGTAGGTTTTCAGTGCATTTGAAAGCAAAAGATTATCATTAGTAAAATCAATACTAGAAATGTATTCATTAAAATGTTTTTAGTATTTCATGTTGTAATGTTTAAGGCGGCACGGTGGCGCAGTGGGTAGCGCTGTCGCCTCACAGCAAAAATGGCCTGGGTTCAATTCCTGGCTGGGTGACCAGGGTCATTTCTGTGTGGAGTTTGCCTGTTCTCCCCGTGTCTGCGTGGGGGTACTCCGGTTTCCTCCCACAGTCCAAAGACATGCAGTCAGGCTGATTGGACGTGCTAAATTGCCCCTAGGTGTGAGTGAGTGTGTGAATGTGTATGTCTCTCTGTCTGCCCTGCGATGGACTGGCGACCTGTCCAGGGTGTATCCTGCCTTCCGCCCAATGACAGCTGGGATAGGCTCCAGCACCCCACCGTGACCCAGAAGGATAAGCGGTTTAGAGGATGGATGGATGTTGTAATGTTTATTTTTTATTAAAATAATATTTGTTTAGCTGTTTCTTCCCAAGGTGCAAAGACATCAGGTCAAGTGGAAACAATAATTTCCCCTAGTGTGAATGTATATGGCTGTGTGATGGACTGGCGACCTGTCCAGGGTGTTTCACCCCTTCCTTTCCTTTGCACCCTCCACAACCTACAAGGCTAAGCAGCTTAGAAGATGCATAATATTTATTAGTACATATTATTTTATTGTTTTGTTCAACACAGTTTTAAATGTCAGGTAACAACACAAAGCCTCTACATATAAGAGTTTTAAAGTGAGGTATGACAGTACTTGAACTACAACTGCACAAGAAACACTAACTGCCATTTAGCTAAAGACTTTATACACTTATCTAGCTGTAGCAGTATGTTTGTGTATGTTTGTGACATAATAACCTGGTCAATGTTTAGCTTTAAGTAATAAACAACATGAAACTTTATAAGTAAATTTGAAAAATGTAAATACATTAAAAAAGTGATGTACCACCCAAAAAAGCAATGACGGGATTCTGTAATTTCACTGTAACTTCATAGGAACAACACAGGAACAACACAGGAACTGTCCACTTATCTTAAAGTATAACTCTTACATAGTTACTGTGGAATATTTGTTTTGTAACATGGTAACCTGATCAAATCATATTGATCAATATCACTGTATTTCCAGAATATCTCTATATAGAGAAATCTTGTAAAGGTAAATGGAGATGTTGTTGTTGTCATTCAGCTGCAGTGTAAGTACTGTTATAATACAGGTAACTCCACAGCAGGTCCAATCAGAAAAGCCTTTCTGGAAGAACAGCAGTTCAACCTAATATAAAGATACACTGCTACTAGAATAACTACTGTTACTGTATCCTTTAACGTATATTTGTGTAATTAAATGAGTAAAACTGAGGCTGATACATGTGTATTTACATAAACTGCACTAATGTAATCCAGTTAACTTTGTGCCAATCATCATAATGAGTGTGGAATTGTGCTCACATGTCCAACATTATTATCAAAGTTTGTCATAATTTTCCATGTTCTGTGTAATATATATACACACACACACACACACACACACACGCACACACACACACACACACACACACGCACACACACACACACACACACACACAGGTGTAAGTAGTGTTCTTGATGAGGCCTTCAGCCCCACCCACTACAACTCCACCTGTAATGGCACAGGCCTGTAATGACACAGGCCCATCACACAACCCCCCTTTAAAAAAAACAAAACAAAACAGGACAACAAGAAGAATGGGTCCAACAGCTCGGATTCTGCAATGACATGTGCCTGTTGATCCATCCCAAACCACTCAGCCTCCCCACTCACCAGTGTCCACCAGCAACCTTGGCGCCTAGGAAGCAATTTTAAGGCAGAAGCTGAAAGGAAAAGGTAGCAGAAGAGAAAGAGGTAACGCTAGACATAGACAAGGCAGCAACCAAAAAACAGTTAAAAACACTATTAAAGCCACGTGACAAGGTGTCAGCAATTATTTTATCATTACCATTAATATCCGAACAAGTGGTACCCCTGCCAAAACAGACACCACCTCATCAACCGCTGGTTTGGGTTCTGTAAAGAATGCAGAAAAGTAAGAGGGTTGTGATCCGTATACACCACCAGGGGACGACCAGAACCCACATAAACCTCAAAATGTTTCAATGCCCAAATTAATGCCAAAGCCTCTTTCTCTATTACAGAATAATTCAACTGGTAGGAATTGAATTTTCTGGATAAAGAAACCTGCTGGGTGATCTACGCCATGCTCAGAAACCTGCAACAAAACGGCTCCCACACCTACATTGCTAGCATCAACATGCAATTGAAAACACTGATCCAATCGGGGTGCAGCCAAGACTGGAGCTACTGTAAGGAGTGACTTCAACTCCTCAAAAGCTCGCTGACAAGATGGAGTCCAGTCAAACTTAACTTGCTGTCACAATAGGTTAGTAAGAGGTGCTGCCACTACAGAAACGTTTTTGCAGAAAGCACGATAGTATCCAACCATACCAAGAAAATGCATCAAGTCCTTCTTGGTGGAGGGAGAGGGAAACAGATCAATAGCCTTCACTTTAGACCGCAACGGGCGCACCTGTCCCTGCCCAACAACCATACCCAAATATGATACCGTAGCCTTTGCAAACTCACATTTAACCAGGTTTATTGTAAGTGTAGCTTTGACAAAACGATCAAATAGTACCCTTATTTGGAGAAGGTGGGCGTCCCAAGTATCACTAAACACCACAACATCATCCAAATAAACAGCACAACCCTCTAAACCAGAAACAACATGATTCATTAGATGTATTCCTAAATGTAGCAGGAGCATTTCGCAACCCAAAACTCATAACCCTGTAAGAATATAAACCAAATGGTGTAATGAAAGCAGATATGTCTTGAGCTCTTTTTGGTAAAGGAACCTGCCAATAGCCTTTACACAAATTAAACTTGCTCACAGATTGGGCAGACCCTACCTGGTCTATACATCCATCCAACCTTTCTAACGCTCCTTGGCTCTGGGCATGGTATGCAGTAGCCCAGTTATGTTTCACATGGAGATGTTTTAATACCTGGCTAAACAAACGAAGTAAAATTAGACCCTTGGTCAGAATGAATGACTCGAGGGATTCCAAAAAACTGCTTTCAAAGCTTTAACCACAGACTTTGCAGTAATAGAACGAAGAGGATAAGCTGCAGGATATTGTGTGGCTTGACACATCACAGTCAGAAGATAAATAC